CCCATGCCAACCCCCCTGGCCCCAGCCCACTGCCAGCCAGCTGCCTCCTTCCCCAGGGCTCCCCAGCAAGAGGAACTGTTCCCACCCACACCCGCATCTGGCCCCATGGGGACCCACAGGTGACAGCCCCACCATGGGGCACGGACCCCCTTTGGAGTGGGGGGGCCCCCACAGTAGGGGAGTGGTGCTACCCCCATCCCACTTCCCCTCCCTGAGCACCACCGGGCTCAGCCCCCAGTCTGGCCACAGCATCACATTCTCCCAGCACCCAGGCCACCTCCCGGAACACCCCCACCTCTATGTACACATACACCACAAAACCCCAAAACATGAGGTATATAAAAATTCAACACGGGGACGCCCCCATACAAACAGTTCAAGGAACCCACTAGATGGGGGGTGGGAGTCAGGCCAGGAAACGTGCCTCCCCCCCTTCACTTCCTACCCCCCGCCTACCCCTCCCCAGCACAGGGCAGGGTGGGGGGGCGCCAGCCCAGACAAGTGGACCCTGCCGGGCACAGCTCAGACACAGCCAAGAGGACAAGGGGACAAAGGGCTGGGGGGCCGGCCGAGGCAGACCGGGCCCCCACAACCTCCGGGGACACAGGAGACCAGTGGGGAGGTACCGGACAGGACAAACGAACGAACAGACATCGGAAGGATGAGGCAGAGCGAGGGGGACTCCCACAGCTCCCGCTCCCGCCCCAGGCCAGGTCCCAGCCCCAGGTGGGTGTCAGGGGCGTTGCGCCACGCTGGGACCACCCGATGGAGGAGGAGGGAGGGGAGCCTGGCACCCCCCAAGCCCTCGGCACGGCGGCAGCGGGGACAGGACACCGGCTGGAGGGGACGGCCAGGTCAGCAGGCAGCCCCGCGGCTCCGTGGGGGGAGGCTCCCTCCCTCCCCGCGCGGGAGTGAAGGGGATGGCCAAAAGGGCCTTCTCCCGCATTCCCGGCCAGCCTGGGGATGCTCCCACTTGGCAGGTGCCACTGGCAGCAGGGGGCTTCGGGTGCCCCCTGCAAAGCCCCCAGGTGGGTTTTTCCAGCAGCTTTATCCTCAGGGGCACGGGCACCCCTTCCCTTGCCTCCCTGCCATGGTCTCAGTCCTTCTCCTGCACCAGGCTCTCCTCCGTGATGCCCTGGGCTGCAAGCTCAGCCAGGACATTGTCCAGGTAGTTGATGTCCGGGTAGCCGTGGCCAGTGAGGTTGGAGCCGAACTCTGTCTTGTGGTGGATCTCGTTCCAGATCACCGTGTCCGACTCGCCTGTGGTGCTGGAGGTCCCGATGGCGAAGATCAAGCGCCTGTCCCAGGCTACCAGCAGCAACTTCAGTACCTGTGGAAGGGAAAAACAGGGCAGGCAGCAAGGCAAATGCGGGGTGAAAGAACCCACTTCTGCTCAGGGCATGCCTCATCTTGGCATGCCACAGCAACGTGGGCAACCCACAGCTAAGCCCTCCCAGGGAGCTCAGGATCGCAGCATGGGGTCTGACTCCAACCAAAACAGCGGGACTGGGCTGCAGAAGCCCCCCAGCACACAGGAATGTCGCTAGGCTCCTGCAGAGCATGCCAGATGGGCTATGGGGAAAACCTCCACCCAGATCCGCCTGCATAAGCCCCATCTGCTTTTCCCCATGCTCACTCCCTCTCCCCCTCAATATGCCCTTAGGCGTGCCTTGGCCAGCTCGAGCTGCCTGGGTGAGCCCCTCACCTTTCTGCCCTTCTCGCTGTCCGGCAGGTAGCAGTGCCGGGGGAAGCCACGGGCAGTGAAGCTCTTCCCAGGGTTTGGATGCTCCGGTCCCTGCAGCGTGTGGAGTGGGAGAGGAACGATACCCTTTTGGAACTCAAAAGGATGCTCTGGTCACAAGGGAACCCCCCAACCTCAGTGGATGCAGAGCTGCTCGCTACTGTGCTGGGCAGCCACACTCCAGCACGGTGGCCCTAAACACCATCACTCCCCCGCCACCAAGCAGACGTGGCCAGCACTTTCATGCAGACATACCCCAGGCTCCCCACAACATCCTTACGGACATGCACCTCCCAAGACATCACGGAATGCAGAGCCCTCAGTGAAGGCACGAGCTGCAGCATGACCCAGTGGTGATGCAGCAGTGACAAGGGCCACCAGCCCCTACAGGGGACCACCCAAACACCCCCCTGAGCATAGGGCTGGGCCACACCTGCACCCCCGGGGGGATGTTGTAGATGATGCGGATGGTTTTGCAATCAGAGTGGCCCGGCAGCGCATGAGGGATGATGTGATATTCCATCTTCCCTGGGGGCTGTGTCCCCGTCTTCACCCCATAGATGGTTTTGCATGTAGGACACTGTAGGCTTCCATCCTGAGAGCAGGAAAAGAGAGGAACATAATGAAACCAGTATTCCCCAGCACCCAGCCAGACTGGGCGCTTTGTCCCTGAGCAGCACTGAACACTGCTCTCATCACGAAAACAGACATTTCAAAACCACTTGGGAAGCAGCAGCTAGGACTGGGAGAATTTGCTATGGCGATCCAACTTTAACCAAAAACCTGAGGTCTGCATTTCTCTTCATCACTTTTACAGTCCTTGCTACTTTCCCTACCTCTGTTTTGGGTTTGGTTTTGGTTTCTTTTTCAAAGAGGGAAAGATAATAAGATATTAAAAAACCCCAAGCAACATGAAATACATTTTCCAGGAATGTTGAGCACAAAGGCCATTTGCAGAGGGCTCAGAAAAGCCCACCTGTGGCTGCAAAAGCACTGCCCAGCGCCAGATGCCAGGTAGCTCTGCTCAAACATTCACGGATCAAGGTTCACTGCCACTAACCCTGGGAAGGAAAGCAAGGACATAAAACTGGACCTAGTGAGGGGGGGAAAAACATCCACACAACCCTGTTCTCTGATTTACCAGTTCCAAAGTGCTTGCTGCTGATAAAAATTAATCTCTCTATCAGAGTGGGGAGGTCAGAGCCCTCCAGGGCAGCAGGACTCGAGCAGCATCCCACAGAGGGCAGGTAAAGCTCAGCGGTCACTGAGCTGGGGGCTCAGGCATGCCCAGGGCTGCTGCCTCGCACCTTGTTGCCATTGTTGTACATGGCGACCAGACAGTGGAGGTGGAAGACGTGGCCACATTTCACCAGCTTCCCCACCAGGTCAGGCTTGACGGCTGGCTGGGGTCCCTTGTAGCCGGAGGGTGCGGAGAGGCGCTCCATGCAGATGGTGCAGTCCTGCGTGGAAGGGAGGAGGGGTCAGGTGGACGGATGCAGCCAGAGCCTGGCCGAGGACACCCAGCTCACGAGCTGCCCTACGTTTGCCCAGGGACCAACACCCATCCCTGGTGCCGTGCCGTCACCCTGGGCCACCGCAGAGGCCGGCCAACACGGGCTCTATGGAGCAGAACAGAGACAGGACAGAGCCACGAGAGGCAGCAGGAGACCCCGGCACGGCACAGGGGCATCACCCATGTCCCCAGTTGCTCCTCCCAGAGCAAAGTACCCTGGAAAAACCCTAGCGTGGCCCCCACTGCTCGCACCTCATCCGGCGGGTGCCGCACCTTCTGCAGGTATTTCTTCAGTACCTCCTCCGGGGTTTTACCTGCAGGACAGCAAGAGTCAGAGGGGCTGGAGGGCAGCACGAGGGAAACCCACTGCTGGGGGCAGCGGGAAGGGACTGGGGCGGCATGGGAACCAGGTAGGGAAGGGGGCACAGGAACAGGGGCCAAGTGGCAAAGCGCCCCTCACCCTTCTTGGCCTGTTTCTTGGTGGTCTTGCGGCAGGTGTGGGAGATGCCGGGGATAGACTGGATCTCACTTTTGCTGACGGGTGGGGGGTGCAGCACCAATTTGGGAGGCCGTGTCAGGCAGACGGGCAGCCCGGCCGCACTCATCAGGATCCCCGTGATCCCTGGGCAAGGGAGTTCAAAATGGCACTGAGGAACCAGCATCACCCCAAACATTCCCCCAAAACCACCCCACTGGGGCAGACTGTCCCCCAGGGAGGCCAGCACCTATGGGCACCAGGCACCCCGCTGCAGCCCCATCCTCACCTGCCAGTGCTGGGTTGACAGGGCTGGAGCCAGTGAGGTTCTTCACAGGGACGGTGGGGACCCTGCGAGGAGCCAGCAAAGACCACATCAGGGCCAGCAGCAGGCACCCATGTCCCCACAGTCCCCAGGGGCCAGCAGGAGCCAGATAACAGTTGCCTGAGCAACTGCGCAGGCCCTGGCTGGAAATAGAGAATCCCCTGACGGGGCGACATGCCCCCCCTGCCCCACTGCTGCCTTTTCTCTCGCTCTTTAGAAACCCCGCCTGCGTCTCCATTCACAGCCCCTTTTTGTCACCGCTCCCTGGGCCGGTCTGTTGTTTCTTTTCCTCTTTTCTCCTATGGCCACGTCGCTACCACAGCTCTTTCCCCCACCACCCCCCCCCCTTGGGGCTCTCTTCCATGGGAAAGTTTCCCGGCAGGTCAGGAGTGGAGGGAAGGGGGAGGATGGAGATGGAAAGGAAAGGGGCCAGGCTGTGACAGAAGGCTGACGGCAGAGCCAGACAAAGGGGAGAAACAGGCTCATTAAATGCCCACCCCCTCAAAAAAAAAAAAAAAA